CCATCAGCCGATGGGCGAGAGGGAGAAGCAGCCGAGGAAGAAGGCTGCGAAGCGGACTGAGTTCCAAGTTGATCAGATGTGATTAAAGCCTGGTCCCAGAGAAGTTTGCGCAGGCGGTTCTCTTGGTTTTTTTGGGCCTGCTTAGTGAAGGCGTGACAATGACTGCACTTATCAGTTCTGTGACCGTCTCTGAGGAAGAGAAGGCACAGACTGTGAGAATCTTGGCCCCACACTGAGAACACTTGTAGAAAGCTGCATGCTGAACATCGAAAGAGAAGATAGTGAAGTAAGAGAAAATAGATGATAGAAAGTTTAAACTTTTTTTTTTTAAATATTTTTGGGGAAAGGAAAAAAGGGGGATTTAGAAAAACTTCTAATGGGGAGGGTAATATAACTTGGAGATCTTAACAAGAGAACTAAGTAGCGAAGAAAAAATAGTAAAAGGTTTTAGATACAACAGTATAGCTATGGACTGAGAGACAAAAGGCTCGAGGCACACCGAATGGCGGTTGCAAGAAGACTGGGGAACTGGCGGGCACTCCACCTTCTTACACTGAAGGGGGGGGAGGGGTGCGGAGTTCCCACCAAAACCATTAAGCTTTTGAATCTTCCTGGCTACAGGCACTGCGCAGGCGCAGCACCCATATGTGTGATGCAGAGGCCATGACAAAGAACTAGGAGAGGGGAAGGAGAAATGCCTGCATGGGCGAATTATTTTTCCTGCCCGACTTCTTTACTTCTACAGCTGTGCCCTCCCCGCCTCCCCACACACACACACATACCAGCATGTCAATCTGGAATCAGTCTCCCTGCACTGGCAAGTTGTTATACAAATACTCTTAAGAGTATCGTAGATCAGAACTATGAACTCTAGAAATTTGGCCCTAAGGGAAAGTATGGACAGTAATCCCATGGAATGGGGCAGTGAGGAGTTGTGAAGAGAGTGATGCAAGAGAGAGACAGCAGGCAGACTTTGGTGATTGGAGGAGTAAATTGGCTGACAGAAGATGGTGTGGTGGGGATGAAGTTAGATCAGCAGAGGAGAAATTACTACATTGAAGGTTAATTGAACAGAATTGATTTCGGAGGGAACCTTCAATTAATTTGGGAGATTAATTAATACTATAATTTTATAGTAAATTATATAGGGGTGAAATAGGAAAATCAAGTGGCTTGAATTCTATGAAACAAGTGCTCACTTAAAGTGCAAAATACTGGGTTCAAGGGACAGGCTTTGTGCTCAGATTTTTGAACAAAATATCTAGCTTCACCAGATGACATTTTCTGAAATGAGAGGTCCACTGCATAACAAATTTTGCGATTGGCCTTACCTACAAGGAAGCTATTTTATAAAAGTTCCCATGACAATTTCTCAAAATTCCAAAATTGCCTAAAAGCCGCAAATGATTAAAAGACCCTGAATTTAAAATATTTTATCAAGAAATGCTGCAAACATTCAAGATAGTATATACTCTTTTATCTAAAACACTGCTACAAAAATGTTTTTCCTCACTGACAAGTACTGCATTATCTCCAGGTAAATCTGCTTGGGGTTCTATTCCAGTGGTGGGTGGAACCAGAGGCATGCCACACATTTTCATTTACACACATTTGTGTGCTCTCTCTTTCTCACACACACACTCAAACCTACTGTGAACTCACTCTCACGTATCCATCCCACAAGCACCCCTCTCTGTCTCATTCATATCTATCCTAACACATCTAACAAAACATATGCCTAGAAATACTGCTGATAGATATATGTTTTACTAAGACAACTGACCCTTCTGAGAGAATTGGACTGTACATCCACCCACTCACAAGTTACTTCTGTTCCACCCTTTGGCCCATCAGATATTCACACACCGCATACCATATTTCCATATGGCCTATGTATGTACATCTTATACAATATGGGGGAGATTTCATTGTTGACCTGCATGTACAAGTTCTAAATGCTTATAGCCTCACCCAAACTGGTACGTTACTCTTATATTGATAGATTAAAATGTTTATATACAGCGGTACCTTGGCTCACGAACTTAATCTGTTCCAGGACTCTGGTCATGACCCCAGCTGATCATGAGCCAAGTCAAATTTCCCCATAAGGTTCAATATAAATAAGGTTAATCTGTTCTTTAACTAATTTTTTTAATCACAAATATTTGAAGTGTGCGTGCTCGGGGCGGGGGAGACGGGCTCAATCACTGGTGTGCTCGGGGGGAGGCAGACAAGGGTAGGGGGGGGGGGGGGGGGGGGAGTCGGACGCAATAGTGATCGTAACTTGATTCAGAGTTTGCGACTTGAGGCAATTTTTTTCAGAAATTTCTGTTCGCAAACTGATTTGGTCGTGAACTGAGGCGTTCATGAGCCGAGGTACCACTGTATACTCTAAGCTATCAGTATCATAGCAATAGGCTAACCAAAATGTCATCTTCTATTTGCACTGGTTTCTGCATGTTACAAGTAGGGATTTATACCACATCAATTGCTCATTGTGTGAATAAAGAGGATGTGGGTGGACACTACCCTCAAATATAATCTTGAATGACATTTCAAGATTGTATTTCCCTACACAGCATGGGCTTCTTTCTGGAACACCTTAGCAGCTTTGAAAAGAATGGATTCATTTGACCATTCTGTAAGCCAAAGTAAAGGTAAGCAGCTGTACTACCGAAACATGCAACAGCTGTCCATCTGTTCCTTAGTTTGATGCCTGGAATATCTAAATCAGATAGTTTACAAAGTTATAAATGTAAATGGGAGACATGGCCATACTCCTTAACATCACTCCAACTACATTTTTTTTTACTTGTAACAGCATCAGCATTTTAAGAGCAGGCACCAATGCAGATCAGTATACAGTTACAAAATTAAGACCATTGTTAGCAGTTGTGGCCATACCCATAAGAATAGGTTCAAGAAAAGCATTGCTAGAAATAAAATGGAGAAACAAATGACCAACCAGATAGACTGCATCTGTGAAAAGAATTATTATCTATTTTTATTTTTATTGGATTTAAACATGTTAAATCAGATTTTTGACAGTTACATGTTTTTAAAATATAAATAATACTAAAAGTTCTTTGTAATTTCTGAAAAAACTTAGTTACAATTAAGTCTCACCATAAACATGCAAAGTCTACACTTAGAATCCTATAAAAATGAAGTGAACAAGCATGAACATTAATTTCATGAAAATTAACAATCAAGCATGAACACTGATTTCAATTTTTGCCTCATGAAAATAGCTTTAACCAGTTCTCGTTTTTTGTTTTTTTAAAACAGGAACTTTCAGTTTCTCTGGCTTAAGTTACATGTACGAAGACAAGGCTGGACAGGAGTAAAGCTTGGCCAAGCAAGGCAAATGAGGTAATTAAGCCAGAAAAATGATATAACAAAGCTATATCTGCAGCTTGCGCAGATCCCTCTTGTACTTGATAAATAGTTGTAATCTGACAGAATCATCTAGTACTCCACAGTACACTGTTACAAGATGTCATGAGGAATTCAAAGAGAAAGCAAGTTAAATCAACTTTATTCTCCTTCATGGCAATGGATTGATTCCATGGATATTAACCTATATGCCAATGTGACTATAAAAGTCTTGTAAGAAAAAGTGAGCCATTTCTAACATTCCTGAGGTTTCCCTAATGGCTTGAATGGTGCTTGGTCATTTACTCGTTTCAGAAACAAACATGGAACTTCATGTGCAGCATACAGTCTAGGATAAATGACATGAATAAGGCCTTCCTTTGGCATTGCATTTATCTGTCCAACCTTTGCAAGCAATGCATCATCAGTCATTCTATATAATTAATTAATTAATAGCTTTTATATGCCATCCTATTATATAAAAATCTCAGGACGGCTTACAGTGATTATTCTATTTTTGTTTATTCATATATGTTTAACCATTCTGTTGTGTGGCCTGCATAAAGCTGGTTAAACTCTTTACTTGTTTTCATCATTTATGCTCATGTAACAACATATCAACTTGGTAGAGGGAACACCTCGTAGCACAATGTAGATGACAGACTGCTAGGCATGGCTGCAAGGCAGGAAATGCTTCAATGTGCAGTGTCCAATTACAGGAGGCAAAAATGGCATGAAGTCTATCAGAATCTCTATTGTTCTTCATAAGTTGTTCAGATCAAAGTTTGGACTGTCAGTACATTGAACACAGAAATTTTCTAAGATATTTTAAAATATCTTTTCACCCAAAAGCAGTTTCAGGCTTTTGATCCTACAGCAAAGGTTATCTCCACTGGGTTGTTCTCTACTCCAGAAAGCATCTGCTATACCTCATGATGCAAGATGTAGAGATCAGAATGATTGGTCACCAGCCATTATTCCACCATGGGACACAATATTTGCCACAGTGCTTCATATGTCAATATAGGCATGGTGGAACGTCACTTAGCAAAAAAGTATAAATAATAAAACAGACTTTAGGTTAGGAAATCCCACTTGATCCAGTATTTCACAAAGTGTAGAGTTACATGGATACACATCTAATTCTATCCATATGTCATCCAACCCAGCATTTTCTGTGTGCTTCCCAATCACCAAGCAGCAATTATTTTAGCTGGTTAAAACAGCAAGAAGTTCAAAAAGAACCCTTATAGCACTTCATCATCCAAGACGAACATTCTGCTGTTATTATATGGTTTGCTTACACATCACCTTACCTTTATATTGGTGTCTGGAATGTCCAAATCAATGCATTACTTTCAGGGCTGCTAGAGTTTCCCTGAGAGCACACTAAAGTATGCTGTGCACTGAGATGTAACTCATATGTATTTTATGGTCATTTTTAGGATTGCATCAATCCACATCCTCTTTATTCACCTACATACAATTGACCTGGCATAAATGTCTGCTTTTAAAACTCTGATGGCATAACTCATATCCTAAGCATATTCTGGATGCTGACAGAATTATAATAGGACTTTTGGTTTAGGACTTACATGGTAAGAAAGCTATATTTAAATACTTACCCAGATATATCTGAATAGATTGCAGTGTCTACAAAGTATGTTGGCAGCAGATGGCAAACCAAGAGAAGCACAGCTTTGCATCCTTCTCCTTGTACAAGCCAGAGGTCTAGAACTGCAGGTATGGCTGCCCAATAAGTTCCCAGAAATGGAACAACTCCAAGTATTGCAGCTAGTGCTAAGAGTAAACCAAATTCAGAAGTATAAAAAAGAATTTAATCAAAGAATCTTATTAGAAATATTAGAACCCTAAATTTACAGGAACACAGAATTGCATATAAATCCATAGGACTATTTAATATATTAGGCAAAATGTTTATAAACTTTAACAGCAACAATAATAAACAACATAGCAGAAAGTTATAACATACTGTAAGAGGCACAGTCATTCTGATGACTCTAGGTTTTAAGAGCTGAATTTTTTACTTTGTATCAGGAAAGGATTCTATGGTTTGAGTACCCAAGGAAGATTTTCTAATGGGAATTGTTTGTCCCATTTTTCCCACTGTAGTCTCTTCTGCACTTCCTACCCACCAAGCTTTTCCAGATGCCAGGGAGTTGTCAAAATAGTCCTGGGCTGTGTGTGAGATGAGACATAGGGAGGGAAAAACTCCTGCAAGCAACGTCTATTCCATTTCCCTCCCTCATCCCCTACTACCCTGACTAGCCTGCGGACGTGCCAGGGATATTGTCAATGGAAGCATAAGAGTAACAAATGAATATAATACACTGGGCTTCCCACTGAAATTAATATGACTTGTGATGTAATATGATATCACAGTGATGTGTCCCACTGATTTCATTAAGAGCTAGGTCAGCCTGGATGCAAGCTACTATCATGATTAATGCCTTTAAAAAGCAAAACAAAGATGCCTATAGTATGCTATTCTGCCTAGTTTATCACGCTGAATGTAGTCAAACTATAAGGAATGAAAAAGAAAGGTAATCTGTCTGAAAGACAGAATGAACAAGGATTGGCGCTGGGGTATCCAGGTTTTATAGAACATCTCATTTGAGGATTTGTGTATACATGTATCTTTGCTCCCAGCATCAATATAAAATTCTGCACTAAACATCAGTTACAAGTTTCAGGCAACTACAAGAAGTACTGATCACTGATCACTATTAAGTTCACTATTGTTGATCACTATTAAGAACAAAAATAAAACACTTTGACAATGTTTTTAGTTCTCACCTGAAGGTATGAAAACAATGTTAATTCCAAAGATGGTATGAGTCAGCCAGGTATATAGCCCATAGAAACCAGCCATTTTGAGGGATGCATCAAATACACCTCTGGAAGGATCAAAGAAAATCATATAAATGAACTAGCAGAGCTGCAGGAATATCTTGAACAGGTACTGAAGAGAAATATACCAGTTCCTTAAAGATGAAAGCTATTTGCTACAAATTCTAGTAGTGATGCTAAAAATCTTATTTGGGATCCAGGACAAAACTTGATATACTTGGAAATATATGACTGATGAGATAGCAATGTGAAATCATAAATTAAATGCAAAATTCAATTATTGATATTATTATTTTACCACAGGGATGGGGAATTCATCTTGTCCTAAGAATAAAAATATCTCCAGGCACACATATCAAGGGGCTGCATGTCAGCATGGCGTAAGTAGCATTCCAAAAAGTGGGATGCAGTACCACCTTACCCTACTTCCATTCATTCAAACACATATTTTCTCTTTCTCCCCACACCCATTCTTGCTCTATAGGATCCATATTTAGCCAAAAAAAAGCAAACTGGCACACAAGCACATTAGTATAATATGTTTTTAAAATATTAAATCATACAGAGCATCATTATTTCTCGTGAATCTTTAAAAATCTTTCCTGACAGAGCTGTGGGAACCATATTTTTTCTTATTTGACATTATCTTATAGCCATTATGTTTTAATTCACTTAATCATTTATCTCATTTAAAAATATAAACTGAAAAGCAGCTAACCATGAAATAATGCTGAAATAAAATCTGAATTAAAGCAAATAGAGCAGCACTTCCATGTGGCCTTCCCTTCTCTGCATTAAAGTTCCATACCCAGTGTCTTTACCTTTCATTATCTGACTTTCCATGCAAATACTTCTACAAAGTCCTAATAATTATGCAGATTTTTACAGTCGTAAGGGAAAGCAACAGTACATTGTATGTCACAAGAAACATACTATTTGGCTAATGAGATTAAGCAGTGTCCTGTAAACCCCCCCACCCAGCACACACACACTCTACTAATGTTAATACTGCCATTGCTTATGCAGTTGTTGTGAGGACAGAAAGTTAAAGTTAACTAATGTAAAACACTGTGAATGCTCCAAAGCATGATCCCAGCCTCCCAGCCTGGTGCCCTCCAGAAGTTGCAGGTTACAATGCCCAGAATTCCTGATCACTAACCATATGAGCTGGGGCTGGTATGAACTGTAGTCCAAAATATCCAGAAGGCACAGACTGGGAAAAGCTGCATTATACAAGTGCAAAGTTTTATTTCCATGGTAACTATATCTACATTGTAGATTTTAAATATCTTACCAGATAATTATGGCTCTGAAGAACTGAGATTTCTAAGTGTGCCTAAAAAGTATGACTGAGGGAAAGTAAATCTAGGCTTCCCTTTCTCAGCAGTGTTTGCAAAAGAAACTTTCATCCAAATGTTGGGGAAAGCACTTATAACTGAATTGAGCAGAACTCCCCTCACCCCCGCTGCCCCAGATATCCTTCTCCTAAGCTTATCCAACAGTATTTACATAATTTGTTTGACCTGAGGGCAATCACTCTGGGTGCTCATTCCCAGGGCACACTGATCTGGACTCAGAACAGAAGGAACAGCCAGGGAGGCCTCAGAATGTGGGCCATTCTCAGACGTTGAGATGAGAGAAGTAGAGGCACTTACCTCAAGACCAGGCCCTCCCAGAGGCTCAGGCAGCCTCTGAGAATAACCAAGATGTGCAACTATCAGGAAGGGGCTTAGAACAGAGTTTCTCAGAGTCAGACAAAGCAGGTACAGTTCTTAACCCCGTGCCATGATATCTGCAGGGGGGTGGTGGCCAGTGAGCAGTACTGGCATGCAAACAGGAGGTCTGCTCATTTCTAAAAGGCCCTTTCCAAAAGGTTAGGGCTCCAGCATACTCATAGGGAGAGTTCCTAGAAGTAAATACTAGATTGGGTTCAACGAAGTGCTCTATGCATGCTCAGAGATTGATTCTTGGTGATTGTGCTTCTGAAAAACACTTGGGTGAATAAATTTCTTTTTTAAAAGAATGGTCTTTAGCTTTGAATGTGCGAAGGGAAGAAAGCTAGTTTACAAAACCTATACTCTTTTCCAGCAACCACTGGAAATACTCCTACAAAATGTCTTTTATATATCATGTGAATACTCATACAATTTTCAAATGTACTTGCAGAGTTCCCCCACCCCAAATAGAGATAATGTGGTTCTCCACTCATACCAAAAGATGCAACTGACTATGTACCATGATGAGCAAAAATGTCTGATGCTACCTAAACCATGTGCTATTTGTTCATACTTAAAATATTCAAATACTATTAATTAACAGGGCAGACACTTTAAAGAAGAGGGCATAGCTGAACCATAACACAAAGGAGACTTCCAAAGTACCATTTCCCATGGTCAAAATTTAGTTTATTTAAAACTAAACTATTTTTAGATAAAGATTTTCTCACCATCAAAGAAAGGTTTTTTCTAAACGTTATGGTTACAATGCTCCACTGCTTGCGTGAAACAAATAATGAAATTTTACCATGTTACATACAAACAGAGTGAGTCAGAAGGGGCCTCCCGAACCATCTAGTCTGACCCCTGGCTCCAACCGGCTCCGCTCACTACATGCCCACCATGTGCATGTCCAGCCTATCCTTGAACACCTGCACCGATGGGGCCTCAACGACCTCACCCTCGGGGTCCTGACTGTCAGGAAGTGCTGCCTGGCATCTAAATGGAACTTGGTTCCCTGAGATTTGCTCCGTTGGAGCACGTCCTGCCTTCCTCTGCAGGGGAGAACAGGTCTCTACCCACCTCCGTGTGACATCCCCTCACATACCTGTATATCTCCAACAGATCCCCTATGAGTCTCCTCTTCTCCAGGCTGAAGAGACCCAGTTCCGTCAGTCTTGCCTCATATGGCATCCCCTGTAAACCGGCCACCAACTTCGTGGCCCTATGCTGAACTGACTCTAACCTAGCTATATCCTTCCTGTAATGAGGGGCCCAAAACTGAGCACAATACTCCAGCTGCGGGCGCACCAGAGTCATATAGAGTGGTAGTAATACCTCTCTCGATCTAGAAGCCACACTTCTGGCTATGCAACCAAGGGTGGCGTTCACCCTCTTAACCACTGCTGACTCATGTTCAGCCTGCAGTCAACCAGTACCCAAGGTCGCATTCACAAGCAGCCACTTCTCCCCTAACATGTATTTATGACACCTATTCCTATGCCCCAAGTGCAAGACATTGCACTTATCCACATTGAATGCCATCCTGTTGTCTCCTGCCCACTTCCATAGTCTGTCCAGATCCCCAGTTGTGGCTACTGCCCCAGTATTAGTATCATCTGTGAATTTGATCAGCAGACTGCTCACCCCTTCTTCCATGTCATTGATAAAAAGATTAAACAAGATCGGCCCCAGGAGAGAGCCCTGGGGGACCCCGCGTGTCACTGGCCGCCACCCTGATGATTCCCCACTGATGGTTACCCTCTGCTTTTGGTCAGTCAACCATGCCCTAATCCATTAGACAGTGCTTTAGTGTATCCCAAAACTCTTCTGTTTCTCAACCAGGATATCACGGGGCACTTTTTCAAAGCCTTGCTGAAATCCAGGTAAACCACATCCATTGCATCCCCTCCATCTAGCCATCTCGAAACCTTATTGTTGGATTCCACAAGGTTTGTTTGGCAGGACCTGTTTTTGTGGAAGCCATGTTGTGTAGCTGCCAGCCTCCCTTCCCTATCTAGCATCACTAGATCTCTCTCTGTTATGAGCCTTTCCATTGCTTTTCCTACAATGGACGTGAGACTAACTGGTCTGTAATTCCCCATGTCCCTTCTACTACCCTTTTTGAAAATGGACCACTGACGCCATCCTCCAGCCCTCTGGAATGTCACCCGTTTTCCACGAGGCCTCAAAAATGGAGGCCAGCAGGCGTGAGAGAACCCCTGCTAACTCTTTAAGTACTCTCGGGTGTAACCCGTCAGGGCCTGGCGCCTTTGTAATGGCCAATGCCGATGAGCCCCTCTACTTAAAGGGGGGTGAGTCTAATCTGGGCCTCTAAGTCCCCAGACTCATCTAATCTCCTGTGCGGATCTCCCCTGTGCTGCTTTGGGGAAAATATCAAGGCAAAATAGTCATTTAGCATCTGTGTCAGTCACTGGATCTCCTTCCTCCTTATTTAGTGGTCCCACTACTTGTTTCCCCTTCCTCTTCCTATTTACATGCTGATAGAAGCCCTTTTTGTTGCTCTTGATATTCTTGGCAAGTCTCAGCTTGTAATCAGCCTTAGCCTTGTGAAGAATCCTTCTACAACAGACCTCCTCCTCCTGGTATACCCTTTTGTATATTTGCCCCAGTACCCATTTCCTACGGAGGCTCCTCTTTCATCTAATTCCTCAAACCACCTCCTTTCGCATCCATGGCAGTGCTCTCCTTCACCTCCCCACCTTACTAACTAGAGATATCGTCAAGTCTTGTGCCTCCAAAACCTCCCTTTTGAGTGCCATCCACCCCTCCTCAACTATCTTGCCTTCCAGTAACCTATCCCAGGAGACTTTCCCCAGTCTGGCCTTCAGTTGGCCCTCTTGAAGTCCCAGCTTCTAGTGCTCGACCTGCTGCATGACCCCATTCCCCTGATCTCAAAGGAAAGGATGGAGTGATCACTCACATCCAGAGCTCCCCTAATCTGTACTCCATCTATCAGCTCCTTCCTGTTGGTCAAGACCAAGTCAAGGATGTCCCGTCCCCCCCCCGGTCACCTCTCGGACCCTCTGTGTGAAAAACCTTCCCTCTATAGCTTCTAGGAAGTGATGTGACCTGGCTGTAATTACTGTGTCTCTCCCCCAAGATATCCTTAGAATCTGGTCTGTCAGGACATCATCTAGGGTCTCAGTTTGACCTGGAGGGCGATAACATACCCCCATTGTCAGGTCTCTTTCCCTGTCAAAACCCCTAAGTTTCACCCAGACTGCCTCTACTGAATCCCCATCTGTGCTGCATTCTATCTCACTGCATCCTATCCCTTCCCTGATGTATAAAGCCACGCCCCCACCCCT